TCCAGGAAACCACGCCACTGCCACACGTACCCTTCCTCCCAGCAAAGTCTAGCCAGGCACAGAACCTAGAGGTAGGTTACGAAGCTATCAGCCCAAAGGGCTCCCCACAGGCCAATCCTGCCCTCTGACTTCTCACTGAAAGCAGCATGTGGACCCTGATTCAAAACTCTGGGACTTGGGACTTGACTTCAGCAAGGCAACCACAGTCCGCCTTAGAAGAAAAAGCAGTAAGTTGCCTCAGCGCCCACTGTGCAGCACTGAGCGAACATCACTCCACACCTCAAGATGGCAGTGCACAGATGTCCAAGGCCCTGTTTAGGGCAACAGAAAGTACCTCAGGTTACATGACATGCCAGGATGTCATGCAGCCACCTAGAATGCACTGCAGACAGAGGAGTCACTGAGCTGGTGTTAAGTCACTTCATCCCCACAGTGCTAGTATCCTAGCTTATGGATGAGGAAACAGACACAGAACAACCTGTCCACTTCACACTGCTAGGCGACAACAAGGCTGGACTCAAACCAGGTGTTCTGGCTCTGAAGTTTGTGCTCTTAACGCCGGAGGACATGATCTCTACATACTGGCCTGGAATGACATCCACCAGGGCTGCCAACTTAAACACACAGCAGAGTTTGCGGGAACTGACTTGTAAAGCCATATGTATGCTCACATGTGTGTCGCAGACAGAGGGAGAGATCCAAAATGATGGTCACCTCTGTGGGAAATTTGGGGCACTTTTTTCCCCTTTTTTCTTTGAACTTTCATATATCATTTGATTTTTTTAGATTGAAATAGTTCTTACTTATAAAAATAAACTATTTACAAAAATAGGACATAGACCTTACATGTTATCACTGGTTTCGACATTTGTGTGATGACAGATCATAACCTCCTGTCTCCCTTTTAGTCATTCTCTTCCACGTTACTCAGCCAGGAAGACCTACCCTGAGAAAACATCCAAGCTTTATCTTCCACAAGGCAGGACTGTGGGGAGGGATTGGAGGGAACCCCAAATGCATGTCATCTTGGGCCTATTGACTGCTCTTCTCAGGGCCTGCAAAAACCTTTACAGTAGGAGGAAAAAGTAGCTCCTCTCCTTACACTCTATTCATTTACCTAAGAAGTCAAATATTTCACAAAATAAACACAAACTCAATCCAAAAGAATTCAAAAGATAAATATTAAAGCATAAAATATTTATGTTGTCCTAATCTGCAAGACATAAAAACCAAAAGCCATAAAAGACTGAAACATTTGAATACCTAAACATTAAATTTTTATATGATATAGTCATAATTAAAATGTCAAAGACTTATGAAAGAATGGGAGAAACTGTTTGCAACATGTAAGAGATGATCAACATAAAGAATATATAAAGTGCTAGAGCAATATGGAAAAAGAAAAGTACGCAGAAAAGATATGGTCCAACAGAGAAAAGGAAAAAAAATGGCCAATAAATATATGAAAAGATGTTCAAACTCAGTAGTAATCAAAAAAATGCAAATTATAAGTGAAATATTTTTTACTCATCAGGTGGACAAAACTATAAATATATATGTATATCAGACATAGAATGAAAGGGTCAGATTTACACTTCAAGTAATGCTGAACTATGGAATTGGGGCCAACCCAAAGGCTGAGGTCAACTAGAAAAAGCTGGACAAAATATCAAAAACATCTGCTTGAAGGCAGAGCTCACAAGACCAGGGAGAATCTGCTGGACCACAGGGAAGACAAAGACATTTGGGTCTTTTTTGCCCAGGAAGAGGGGTGATTATTTTAGAAGGCTGGCCAAGGGGCACTTTTAACCAGCCTCCAGGGCTATGGGGACAGCAACCATGATGAACCCTTCTTTGGGTTAGTACCCAAAATGCTGTACCTTAAGATTGAATGAGCCAGAAGTTGACAGGCCTTACCAGGAACTGCAGCTCTGCTACAAAGAGATCAGTCACCAAACTGGATTAAGATGACCCAGCTTGCTAGTGCTTACTAGGTCCCTGGCAGAAGCAAACCTAAAATTCTCTCTGGAAGAAGATATCATTCTAGGCATCAAATTATTTCTAAAATAATTGTAATTAATATAATTTCTGACACACAAGCAAAAATATCCAAGCACAAAACAAGATGACATGAATGAAAACCAGCAAAAAAAAAAAAAGAAAAAAGAAAACAACCCATGACTATAGAAAGAGATGCACATGGGCTCCAGCTATTGGTGGTACCAGACACACATGCTGCTCTGCTCAAAGAATAAAAGACAAAATGGAGAACTTCAAAAGAAAACTAGAGACTAGAAAAATGAACAAACTGGAAACTCCAGAACTAAAAACTATAAGAAAGACATTATGCCACAGATTCAAGAACAACTTTAAACATGTTAGTAAACCAAAACTAAGTAGGAATCACCAGCAGGCCTACACTAAGGGAATGGGAAATGGTGTTCTTCATTCTTTAGACAAAACCAAAATGATCCCAGATAAAAGTTCAGAGATATAGGGCAGAATGAAGGCAATGCAAGGGATAAATATGTGGGTAAATGGACACTGACTGTATAAAACAATAACAATAATGTCTTCTTGAGTTTAAAATGGGATGCAAAAAAACAACAGCAATGTAAGTTAGGAGTAATAGTAAATTGTACTTTAAGAACTTTGCATGTCCGAGAAGAGAGGAAAGGTACTAAACAATAAAAGTCAACTGCTTGCTGGAACCACTAGGACAAGCCACTAAAAGTAAAAGACTCTATAACTTCCAAGCTAACAGAACGAGGAAATGAAATGATTAAAAAAAAAAAAAAAAAACCAATGAAGTGCTGCCCGCAAGAGACTAAGAGAGGAGAGTTAAAGAAACCTAAAGTAGGTAGAAAAATTAAATGGTTTAGGCCCAAGTATGAGTCCAATTGAATGACAAAGACACAATGTCAGAATGGATAGAAAACCAAACCATACCTTAAATACAAAGACAGAGAGAGATTAAAAAGACTGAAAAAGACATACAGTGCAAGTTTAAACCAAAAGACACTAGAGAAGTAACACTAATATCGGACAAAGGAAACTTTAAGGTAAAAAGTCTTACCAGAGATAAAGACACTGAAATAAATGAAAGTTAAGTTTTATAAAACAAAATTGATAAACTCTTGGTGGGAGAGATTAAAAGAGAAACAAATACCATTTGTCAGGAATAAAAAGGCATTCTTCAGATCTTATAAAACATTAAAAGATAAAAGAATATTACAAAACTCAAAATTTGGAAAATTTTAGACAAAACAAAAATTTCTACAAAAATACAACCTACCAAAACTGACAAAAGAAAGAAAAAAATCTGAAATTGAGATCATAATTTAAAATTTTCCTACAAAGACAAGTGGCCCAGATAGTTTCACCTGTGATTCCACAAAATATTTAAGGATGAAATAATATTTCTTACTTCACCTCTTCCAGAGAAAAGAAAATGAGGAAACATTCTTCAAATATTTTATGACAAGCATATCTTTGATATCAAGACCTAACAAAGATATTACAAAAACTTCATATCACTCACATATATGCAAAAAACCCAAAGCAAAATATTAGCAACCAAATATATAAAAAGAATAATACATCACTACAAACTGTATAATTAGCCACATTAACAGAAAATAGGAGAAAAGTCATGTGTTCATTGCAATAAAAAAAGAAAAGGTATTGATAAAATTCAACAATCACTTCTGATCAAAACTCAAAAAATCAGGAATACAAGGTAACTTCCTAATATGATAACGGTTATTTATTTTTAAAAAATAAACAAATGAACCCCCCTGCCCCTGCCAAAACCCTACAGCAAACAATGGTAAAATGCTCTCTCTCTAAAAATGGGAACGAGACCATAATTCTCACTATTCCCACTATTATATGTTAACTATATGCAGTTAAGCAAAACAAAATAAGTAAAAGGTATAAGGATTGGAGAGGGGTAAAAGTTAAATCCACAGACAGTATGATTACAAATAATGAAAATCCAAAAGAAGATATAAATTGTTAGAATTAGTGAGTTTAGCACAGTTGACAGAACAATCAATTGCTACCCACAATAAACACTTTAAAATGAATTATTTTAAATGATACCATTTATATCTAAAATCATCAAATATGAGAATAAATAAAATAAAATATAAGACCTCTCCAAAGACAATCATAAAATGTTTTTATCAGATTTTAAATAACACCTAAAAAAACAGAAAATGTCCATGGTGTAAGACTCAATGTTGTATCAGTGTTCACTCATGCATCATTTTAATGCCAAACCAATCAAAAGCCCAATAGTTTTGGTGTTGCTTTTCCTTGTGGAACTGAACAAGTTGATTCTTAGATTTATGGAGACAAGCAAAAGGTCAAGAAGAGCCAAGGCATTTATTAAAGTAGAGACATTCTTGAAGAAGGTAGAAGGATGTGCTCTACGT